TGGCAGGCTTGCACCTGGCACGGGCACCGTAGCCAGCCTGTGCCCCTTTAAGGGGTCCGGGGCCGGGAGGGGGGCAATAGAGTTTCCCTGGTGTTGGCCAGAGTGGTCACCAGGGAAAGCTGGAGAGGGCTAGCCTCCCACTAGTTCGAATTAAGGGGCTACACACCCCTTAATTCGAACTAGTAAGTTCGAACTAGGCTTAGTCCTCGTACAATGAGGTTTACCTAGTTCGAACTAAGCGCTCCGCTAGTTTGAATTAAGTTTGAACTAGCGGAGCGCTAGTGTAGCGCCTATCAAAGTTAATTCGAACTAACTAACTTTGTAGTGTAGACATACCCTTGTATATGGGCTGGGAAGTTCAGCTTCAGAATCAGAGCCAAATTCAACCTTGCCAAAGACTGAGAAAGTTGTAAACATTTTTAAATGAGCACAGAGGACTTTCAATGGAAGTATGAGTAAGATGAGACTGAAGCCATAGTATGTCAGCAATATAGCTGATTGAAATGATATTTGCAAACTCAGTTTAGATTAATTGAATCATTTCTTTCTGGTAATAAGCTATGCACAAACAAATCACACTTTTTCACAATTTGTTTATCACTCAACATAGTTCCATGAAACCTTTTCATAAACACACAGAGACACTGTATTGTAGATGAATAGCTTATCATGAATATTGGGCCTGATTCTCAGTTGTTTTATTTTTTTGCATGAGGAAGCAGAGGAAGGAGTGCAGCAGTCCTTGGGTGAGATTCCATATTGTGTCTCTAAGGGTGCAGCACAGAACAAACAGCCCAAGGGAGTGGGACCTTAAGGTGGCTTTAATCTTTGTACAATCCCAGTCCTGGGTTGATCCAGGGCTGCTGGTGTAACTACAGCTGTGAGGAACCCATCTAAATTATAGGGCCGTGGTATGAACCACTGTCCTGTCCAAGAACCTTCATATGCTGAATGCTGTGGCCTCACATCTCACACATGAAACCCACCTCCAGGTACTCCTGAGGCACATCCCTTACACCAGAGCTTGAGGGAGACTAGTCCTCATAAATCTGAAGTGTCTGCACCAGGTGAATCCTTCCCTTATAGAATGGGGCTTTAAGATCCTTTTAGTCCATGTTAGCCGTTTTACCTAGCAAAAAAGGGTCAGAGAAGGAACCTCACCTCCTTTAATCAATATGCAGAGCTCTGCAAGAACCTCAGTTAGAGCAGCCTCATTCGACTTCAAGGCCCTGGGAAGAAGTGAGCTGCAATAGTGTAGGTACAGTACTCTTCCTACAAACTATTTTTTTTTACCAAGACCTGGGAAAAGTGGTGAAGAGCCTTTACACTAGCTCTGTTCTGGCCAGCCTGTAGTTTCAGGAGGCTGTTAGCACTCAAGGTGAGTCTAGACTACATGCCTCCGTCGATGGAAGCATGTAGATTAGACAGATAGGCAAAGGGAAATGAAGCCGCTATTTAAATAATCGTGGCTTCATTTAAATGTACATGGCTGCTGCGCTGAGCCGACAAACAGCTGATCAGCTGTTTGTCGGCTCAGAGCGCTAGTCTGGACGCTCCGCGCTGACCTGAAAGCCTTTTATCGACATCCCGCTTATGCCTCGTAGGATGAGGTTTACAGGGAATGTCGATAAAAGGCTTTCATGTCGGCAGGGGAACGTCCAGACTAGCACGCTGAGCCGACAAACAGCTGTTCAGCTGTTTGTCGGCTCAGCGCAGCAGCCATGTAAATTTAAATGAAGCCGCGATTATTTAAATCGCGGCTTCATTTCCCTTTGCCAAAAAAACAAATCTACATGGCTCCGTCAACGGAGCCATATAGTTTAGACGTACCCTCACCTTCAAACATCTTTACATAGCCACTCCACATACACTTTATTTATAGCACTTATGAGAAGCCTTAACTCTACTGGCCAATACTGATAAGCTCCTAAGAACCATCCCCCTAAAAGCTTCTCTCAATGAAGGGTACTTTTTGTTTAGGGTGAGAAAAGATGTAATACAAAATAAGGGTGTCTAAGCTAAAACACTGATCACAAATAGAAGGCATTTGTTTGGAAAGTGCTTAGAGATTAGACTAAAGTGAGACTATGCTAGCAGAAAAATTCAGAAGTCTCTACTTAGATTATGAAAGAGAGAGACCTAAATGCTAAAATTAGACACAAGCTGTTTGATTTTGGACAAGTCAACAAATCTCAAAAGCAAAGAAAGATCCTGACAGAGCTCCAGAACATTAAAAATGAGGAACTGAATAAATTGCTGAAAAATATAATTCTATGGAAACTCAAATATACCAAATATAAACATTAGGGAAGGGGAAAACAATATAATTTGAGGACAAAATATGTTTATAGAATATAAAAAATAAGTGAAAACCAGAGCTGTGTGAGTAATAATATTTTTTTAAAAACTCTGCCAATTCCCAAAAATATCAAAAGCAAGTTTAACTGAGGGCTTGACAACACGGGGAGGTAGTGGACAGCATCTATAATGCACTAACATGCTGCACACTAAACTTATATCTATCTTTTTGTGGAAAATCAACCTAAGCTTTCTAACTCCAGCTATGTGAATAATGTACCTGAAGTCAATGTTGCTAAGATCAAGTTACCATGGAGTCTACACGCAGGGAATCAAAGGCAGAAACAATGCTGTCAACTTACTTTACTCTTCTCGTCAAGTAGAGCACAGAGATCAACTGCACAATGATCTGCAGTCAATTTGGTAGGTCTTCAATAGCCAAACTAAATCAACCTCCAGTGAATCAATCTCAGAATGCCAGTCCCTGCTGGCCACATGGATCATTCTATCATGAATTAAAAATTATATAGTATGCACTGATCTACTGTGGGAGTTGATCAGTGTGCACAAGGAAACTTTTAATAGAGAATAGTAAGGTCCACATGTGGACAGTTAATGTGAAACACACTAGTGCATTGTAGATTTGTACACTAATGCTCACTGTTTACACAAGCCCTTCCATTGACTTAACTGACCTCATGATTAATCCCAGTGAGAATAGATGCCTATAACTAATAATAGTATCTAAGCCTGTGGTGGGGTGTCTGCCTCACACTGGCTGGTAGGGGTTAAAGCAGGCTGGAGGGAGCCCTGTATTTAGGAG